ATGCCAGAGAAGATCATGTAACCTCTTTGCGGGTGAGGAAGAACCGGATGCAGTGGGTTGTAGGAATGTGTATCTTGGGTCCACAAGGGTTAAGGGTAAACCCCAGACACGAGGCCAGCTTCAAAAATAGAGCTGGGGCCTCAGAGGTGGCAGACAAGTGAGGACATCCAAAGTGATCATCTGAGGCCTCATTTACACCCAGCTACTCAAGCCCGGAATTGATTAAAAGAAGACATTCTGCCTACTGTTCGCAGGCTAAAGAAGCACATAGTTCCATTTTCTCTCTGCAGGTTGACTCATGTTCCCGCTCAGAAAGCATGAGGAGAAGATGTAAGTTGTAGTTAATAGACCCCGTAACCGGTCATGAGCACATGAGGTGGAAGACAGCAGGTCTCAGCCCACAAGACCTCCAGCACCTTGAGACAAGTCCCTTTGGACTGGGCCACTTGTCATGCCAGAAGGACCCTCCATGAGACTTCCCTCCTAGACGCTTACATTTCCAACTGTTTAACCTAAAATGACAAATGTGGTGTGGCAGGGAAATTCTGTGGGCTTCCTGACAGTGCTGTCAGGGGCAGTCACAGGAGAGGTGGGGACTCCCCAGCAGAATCCCTTCTGCCAGGGGGAAACTGTATTGGAACAACCAGAACTGATGCAGCACCTGCTGGGTCTCAGCCATCACTTGGTGGAAGGCACATCCCCAACTGCCAGGAGGAGCAGGTCCTGGGAGGGGGAGGAGGTAGCTCAGAAGGGGAGGAGGTAGCTCAGAAGGCAGGAGGAAGAGATGTCTGATGAGAACCCAGAGGAGCCAGTCAGGGGGACAGGAGAAAAGAGGGGTGTCTGAGCAGAGGCTCGGACTCAGAACCCTGGAGAAAAGAGACAGTGTATCTAGAGAACATGGAAAGAGAATGAGGTGAGGATGTGGGGAGATGAGGCTGGGTCCACACGAGGGTTTTAGGACAGGGGGGAACGACTGGGGAAGCAGTGGAGAGACTGGTAATGTAAACACACTCTTGGAATCCTCGCAGCTCTGTGATTTTGTCAAAAATCGTCTCTCCCGTTTCCCACCTGGGCTCAGGGGCATGGTTCTTCCTGGAAGTCTCTCCAAGAGCTGGAACTCCCTGTTGCTTGGGAATGGCTGGTGTCCACGCAAGCCCACTGGTGGGATGTCCTAGATGTAGGTGTGGGCGGGGCATTCATCCTGGGCTGGTGACCAGAGCGCTTGCCCAGCCCTCCCCATTGCTTGGGCTCCCACAGTTTGAAGGCGTCTC